AACCTTAATGATTCTATGATTCTATCAGATAACGAATACAATGCTACACATGACACTAACAAGAGCAGTCATTCCTACAGGACTAGGAAAACTGTAATTCACAACTATTTAAACAAACTGAGTCCAAGTCTTCCTCAACATTGTGTGTAAATGTCCAAGAAGGAGAAAAAGTATTGATTGGGAAGAACAAAAAGTACCCAAAGATGGTTTATCAAGAGTTAATAGAAGAAAAATCACTCCAAATAATTTATTCAAATTCTATTTCCTAAATCTCAAGGATAGCTATATTTATATGAAGGAAAGGTAATGATCCAAATAAACTGTGCAAGTTCCATAAAAAAATTTAAAAAGGACACACCTTCTAGTGACAAACATATCCTTGATAAGCATTTTTCTAGGCAACAGAAGCAATTTTTTCCTAGCAGCTCCACCCCTTCTTGTGTCCCAACTGATCTCAGGTTAGGATCAGAATACGCTGCAGTTCACAAACAGACACAAACTGTCATGCCTATGCAACATGCTAAGTCCTTATATGCAGCTCTAAGAATCCAAATCATTAAGAATCCTGAAGCTTTTATGATTTGTCACTATCAATATATCAATGCTGTAGACATTATGCCCATTGTAACCATGGTAGAAACTAGAGAGGAATTGAGCAATTTACTTGTGGAGCAAGCAGAGGCAGTCTAATGTAAGCCAGGAGTTTACTGAGATCTTTCCTTCTCTGTTCCAAATCATGTCGAACCCACGTAAGTAGTGCATTCAGTATAGTTTCTTCATTAGGAATATTCATGTCATCACTTGCTAAAAGCTTTGCAATTTCAGTGGCTGGCAATAATAGAAATTCCTGGTTTCTAATTACTTCCATGAAGTTTTCCTGAAAAAGAAAAGTATTTTTAATACAGGTGACATCATACTTTGAAGACATTTTATGGAACTCCTACTATATCTTCCCCTCTTTTCCCTCCCTTCACGCCATTCCTCAGTTGTGCCAGTAAATACCACTGGAGAACTGACCTGGGAGGAAAAAAAAAAAAAAAAAGTACTGAGTGATTTTGACCCCTGATCATTTCCCCAACTCTGTCATTCAGTCCCACAGACAGTTGTGGGGCAACTGAGGGGCAAGTGGATAGACAGAAACAAGCAATGGGTTGTGGCAGTTACTATCCTGGCACTGCAAATTGAAGAAATACTTTCTGAAGTATAGTTTAAAAGACAATAAAAGGTGCAGTTTGTTCCTGTTGACAATGTAGAATACAACGTAAGATGCTTTGTCTAGCAAAGAGCACAACACGCTACAACTACTGGGCACATCTAACTGTTTTCAATACTGCTAGATTAAACTATGGCATTAAGTTTTCAGAGGAAATAAACACCACTAACAATTTTATTGTTGATTTTAAGTGGATTATTTTAAGTTTATTTTACTATTTTGTAGGTTTTATACAGCTGATCTGATTGACTGGGGAGCAAAACATACAAAGAATCCACAATATTGTACATGCCTTGTTTTATTAACAATATTTACTTTGATAGGATTCAATTTTCTAACTTTCATCCTGTCATTTCCAGAATAAATCCTTACTTCAAAATAGGAAAGTTACAATATGTAACATTTCCGACACTGATATCCTATTACTTCGTAATACTAGGACTTGCAGAGTATTCTGTAAGCATTCTCATGAACTTAGGCAGAAATAGCAGAAAAGTATGCAGAAACACAATCAGCACTATGAACTTACAGTGAGAAACCCGAATGTAACAGAAAAGGGTGAGATCATGTCTATCCTCTTTCCCCACACACCTTTACAAGGCAGCAAAGGAAAGAAAATTAAAAGCAGTCTATGAATCACAACATGGTCTTATATTTTGGTAGCTCAAAACTCGGTTAACCTCATACTCCAAACTGAGAGAAACTTCATGGCAAAAAAACAGTATTACAGTCAATTTAGTAAATGCACTGTTGATTGCTAGATAGCTAGCCAACAGGATGCTGGTTTTGCTCTGCCATCACATGTACCTCCAAAACACCTGGAGGATAAAGTGCATTAGATCCACAGACAGGAAAAACTAACTGGGCCTAATATAAAAATTAGCCTTACTTAGTATCTTTTTTAATGATTTAAAAGGAAAGAATTGCACACTAATGAAAAAACTCTGGATTAGAAGCACATACATGTCAGGAAAAAAAAAAGGGATTTTTAGGTCAAAAAAACAAGGAGAAACTTGGGAGCAGAAGCAGGACCTGCACTGCAAAACAGGTACGAATTTAGCATATAATAAAATGGCAACAAAAACATACAGTACAGTTTGGCATTGCATATGCAAAAGACATCATGACAACAAAGCAAAAAAGGTAACACTTCTTCCTTTTTATTGCTTAGTCTAATAATTTCAAAGCTATACCTCAGTACTCCAAAAATATTAACTAATTAAAGAATGCTGAGCAAAGAGGAAAAAACTAAGAAGCAGTAAACCAGTCCGCCTTACATGAAAGCCACACATACATAAGATGGCTATAAGATGTCTAAGGGCAAAGATCAAAGTGACTCCACAGGTAACTCTGCAGATGAAATTAAGAAAAGAATTGAAAGTGTTATCTGTATTCCTGGATAGAATTTGGAAAGGAAATTTTTAAATTTAATATCTGAAAAGCTTTCCTACTAGAGAGATCCAATTGGCTACACAAAAGTAGTCCGAGTGAAAACTGTAGTAGATTAGAAGGGAGGTAGAACTGTCTTTTCCTCTTTAATTCGTTTAACTCTCTATTACAAAATTAAAGTTAAGAAAATGAGCAAATACAGGAATTAAAAACAACGAAAAGATTGTACCAATATTCAGTAGCACTACACATGCACTGTTATTTATTTTACTCTGATATCAAATGCTTGGGAGTAAAACTGAAGCTGAAAAACAATCAAAATTATTTCCAGAGTTTAAACACGCAGTTCACAGAAATTCAGATTCCACTGAGTTCATTTTTTCCACTGCTGTTTTTCTGTTGATTCTCTGTCCTAGAGAATATGCAAGCTGGAGCTGTGCTTTTAATTTTGCTGAGTAAACGGGCAGTGAGCACTGACAAAGAGAAAAGCCAACACTTACTACCTTAAACTTTCCATATTGTCTATCCGGATCACAGGAAGAGGAAGGGGAAAGCACCTGCATGGAAAGTTTCCTTTGTCTCTGAAGGCAACGACAAGCTGATCTTGCATAAGTCAGTCAGGGATCCTCTTTGGAAAGCTTTTTTCCAACTGGATTTCATCACTTCAACAGCTGTTGTGTGTAAAAAGCCTGATTTTCCTTCTTGTTGCTTGCAGACAATTGCTTTCTGATGGGAACAAGTTCAACTTCCTTTTGCTCCCATTCTATTTTTAAAGCAGAGACTCCTTTTGAGCATAGTATCAAAGCATTCCACTGGGAATACAGCCACTCTTTGGCCTACGTCTGGGGTTTTTTATAATCAGAATCTGACAATTCCTCTTCCTCTACAGACAGAGATTCTGAAGACAAAAAGGAGGAGCCAGTGTATCTCCTAGCATTCTTAACCTCCTCATTAGCCTTTTCTTTCCTTCTTCTTATGGGAACTCTCTGTGGAAGAACAGGATATTTCAGAGAACAAGCGGTCTGCAGTTTCAGTCCCTTGCTTTCTGGTCCTGAAAGTAAAAAAAAAAAAAAAAAGAGGTTCCCACCCCCAAAATTAGCTCCTCAAAGAGCTTGGAAACTTTATCAAACGAGTAGCCTGAGGTTTATGTATTAGCTAAAACAGGAACACGTAGTCCCCGTGCTTAATGTTGTGTATTGCTCATTCACATCATAACCTTAAATTCACCCTTCAGCAACTGGAGAGTGAATAATACTGATATTCTTAACCACAGGTCTGCCTTGGACTTGATACAGAGCAATAAAATGTTACAAGCGCATAAAAGATAAGATGTCATGATGCTTATTTCTGAGTGATACTTAACCCCACAGTGGAATCCAGTCCCAGCGATCATTAGTTTCCCTCTACACTGTGTCAGAAGGATAAGAACCTTGGAGAGCATCAGAACACCAGCAGGCTGAGAAGCATGGTACACTGAGCTGGCCCAACAGGCAGCTCTAACCACAAGGCTGTGTTTAAACTCTGAACCTGGGCAGCCAAAAAGCAAGAGGTGCTTGACTCACAGGATCTGAATGAGAGCAAATAGGGAATGTAATTTTGTCTACTGGCTGCTTCTCTCAGCTGGTCAACTGAGGTATGAATTCACTAAGAACTGAGCTATCTGACCTCCTAGTAAACTATTAATAGTCAGATAAATGTCAGATAGCAGCTACTTTACTTTTAGTCAGCTTTGACTGCTGCGTTAAGCGATAAACCAACCTAATGCTTTCGGTGTGCCCAGGGTTTGTTTAGAGTACAACTATTGTAGCTTGACTCCTCTCTGCATAGTTTCTGGATTTCAAAACAGGCTGGGCAGCATGCAGAAACTTATTTAGTCTTGCCAAGGCAAAGCACTGATCTATTGTGCTAGGCAGAACTTACGGAAATTGAAAGACAGAAATATCTTGGGTTTTCACAGGTGAAGAGAAGTGAATGAGTATTTTTCAAGTCAAATGATTACCGAGCAGGACATTTTGGACTGCAATTTTCAGTGCAAGAATATAAAATCGTTGTTTTAGGCACTAACACAATCTTTGGGTCTGGCCCTTTGTGGACAAAAAAATCCTGAAATTTCTCCCCTTTTCATGTTCCCTTCTACCAAAAGAACAAACTGTCCTGGCTGTTGCAAGAAAAAAAGATAAATTATGCCTCTTTGATTCCTCCTCCCAAATCATAAACACCGCATTGCAGTGATTTTTTGTTATTCAACTCCTGCCTTACAGGAGAAAGCAAGACTAAGTGTCCCACATCTATTCTTCTGCAAGATTCCTAGCTTCTATGCTTGGCCTCAAGCTGTTACTCTATCCTCTCTAAGTTTTTCTTCTTATAAACAGCCATTGGCTATGCTCAAATCATGCAAACTCCAAAATTAACTTTATCTGAATCTTGTGACTTTGTCACTGCTCACATACTTCTGAAGACCTCTGATGAAAATCAAAATGGGTTTTCACTCTGCTTTAAGCATGGAAAGCTGAGCAACAAAGATTACAAAGCTATCTACACAGGGATTGACTCATGCACTATCATGTATAATGCTTAGAGTGTCTGCTTTTTCTTTTTTGGTTGGTAATTAAAGAAAGTTAAAGTCTGGCTACTGAAGAAGCTACTGACACTTACCTAAGAACACCTCACTACTCACCATAGACATTTCATGTTCTGGAAATAACATAGACTAGCTTTTCCTCATTGGAAAGTATTAACTTCCCTTTAGTTTACTTTTTTGTGGAAGAGGAGCTATTGGTGTTCATTCAAGGTACACTATCAACTGTTTCAAACAAACAAGATGACAAAAGGCATGTTTCTTTTCACTTTGTAAAGACAGCAAGAAAAATGCACAAAAGGCATTTTGTGCAAAAAGGCTTTACGAATTAAAGTGAACAGATACACTACAGGCCAGCCTAATAAAATTCCTAAATGTGTAATTGTATGACACCAATACTATATATAAACAGGAAAACCTTTGTTTAAGATATCTTTACCCAGATACATCTCATGATTCTGTCAACTATATTTTAAAACCCTGATGCATAAAAATCAGAGTTGCTCTTTATACAGCGTTAAATCCACTACTGATCACTTTAGTTTATTTCATGATTCACTTAATGCATCCTGAAGATTTTTCAAGCTTTAGTTTGCAATGTCAAAAATTGACCTGTTTTGATGAGAACATTAAAAATTATTCTCCTCTGAAAAAACAACTTATCAACTGTCAACACAGTAAGTGTTGCATTACTTTATCGCTTAAGTCCTTTTAGCATAACATACATCTACATCTTTAATATGAAGTGCAGCATTCAAATCCTTCTTATTCATTTTTTTTTTTCATCGCACTGTATTATGCGATTAAAATCATGCCATAAAATCATGCTAATGCTTTCCGATGACACTGATGAACGTGATTCAGACAGAGCAGGTCTATTACAGAGGTAAGCTTATGGGGGTAACTCACTGATTGGTCCTTCAGTCCAACCAAATGCTCATTTAATCTGAATTTCTAGTCTTCATGTAAAGAACTATTTTAATGAAGCAGGTAAGATGATTATCAAATTATAGCATGTGTCAAAAACCTTTAAAACCAAGAAGTTGTTTTAATTGCAGAAAAACAGTTATATGGCAATCTGATCTTTTTCTGCTAAAGGAAAAGAAAAACTCATACAAAGTAACGTATATAAATTAAAATTTAAGTATTTTATATTATTCATGACCTTCTACTTCAAGTGCTTTAAAAGAACCAAAATTACATGGAAAAGCCAGAAGTATGTGCTATACTCAGTATAATCCACCATGGTTCTATGCTGCCCACTGCAGCATAAAAATAATTCATTGTTTTAACAAACAGGAATTTCCAGGTGCTATAGGTGCGCTTAACCCTTATGCTTTAATACTTCTTAATGGAAAGAGCATCAAGTGGCTAGCACTTACTACTGTTGAACATGTCCTTTTTTCAAACAGCTTTTAAACAAATGAAATTACTCGGGGATTTATTTTAATTGAAGATTCAATTGGACTACACATTTCTATGCAGTTTCCATAGCAACATTCATTTCAAACTAAAGAAGCTGCTTCTCTATTACTCATTCTTACTAAAATTCAATTTCATGTCTCTGTTGGAACTAAACAACATTAAAAGAGGCCTTGGGAAGAATCCATCTAGCACAACTAATTAGTTTTGAAAATGGCTTTTTAAAATCCACCTAATTTAAATTTCAGCCACATCGAAGCCTTAAAAGCAACAACTTTGCCACTGAAGTAAACAAAGGCCAAAAGGCATACAACTATTTTCCCGTGGTCTGAACAAAAGAAAGATAGGTGTTGTAAAAGAATGGCTTTTAGAAAGTTCACAGCCTCTCTCCGCCACAAGTCATGAATTGCCAGACAAAATAGTAAGACTATAATCCCTAACGTTCATCTTTAAAGATGCATTAGTCGAACATTTATTACCGTTCTGATCTTGGCAATCCACTTATAAGGGACAGGACAATAGCACAGACCAAAATATACACTTATTCTGAAAAAGAACAAATAGATCAGAGGAGGGAGGTTCTCTTTTTGTCTTTTTGCATACTTTTTGTATCGCTGTCTCGCGCAACATTAATTCTAATATTCCTCAAAGGCATAAGCCACATTTATCTTTATTGTTTCACCCAACTGTCTACCTAATTGCAGTCTCCTTATTTTTGATTAAGCAATTATGAAGATCAAGAATAGAAACATGTAAGTTACAATCTGCACACTATTTATTGACCTGTTTTGGTAAATTTCAGTGTGTACATGATTTTAAACACACCAGAGATCCACTCACTGAGGAAGAACATTGTATCATATTAAAAAAAAAAAAAAAGAGCTATTTTAAATTGTTAAACATACTAAGCTATTTTAAGCCAAGAAGAAATAATTAAAAAAAAAAAAAAAAAGAAGTTTTTAAACCAGCAAAAACTAAGGCAGCAAGAGGAAAAGCCATGGATTTCTAATACTAATTACAAGACAGAAATTACACCTCTTGGATCTAAGCCAATAGCTTAACAGCAATGCAATGCCATGCCACATAAGCAAATTAAGTACTATCTTCATTCCCACACCTCTTATGCAGTATCTACATGCCCTCATTCAGGTCCCAAGAGCTTACATAGGCGAAATTTCATCAAGAAGAGAGAAAAATGCCTCACAAAACTGCAAAGAACAGATGAACTGATTTGCCTCAGAGATAATTCCCCTGCCTTCTTCTGCTGATAACATTACTAAAATATGCTTGTGAGAAGAAAAAGAAAAATGTTTTACATTAAAATAAAAGGATGACTATTAAGAAGATGAAGTTTAATTACGTTGGCAGGTCAGTCTTTCTATAAATTAACTCTGAAAATATCATTGGCAAATTTGTATTTAGTCACATATTGCCTAGCCTAAGATTAAATTGTTTGATGCCATCCTGACATCCCATTACTAAAAAATTAAGGATAATGCAGAATCTATATTGATGAATGCCCACATTCATAACCCAAGTATGACTTAGAACCCGATTACTCCAGCTCATAACAAAACAAGAATTCTACAGTTTCATTTAGTAATGCGTTATTTTGGACTAGATGATGGCAGCTTGCCCACTGTTAAGTTTGTAGTTTTTGAAATAAGAACAAGCTTTTGAATGATTTTATTAAATGCATATCACACAATCCCATTACTGTTACAGGGAACCATTAATGCTTGCCTATTTCCTTCCAACTCTAAACCAGCAACTTTATAGTTATTTTGTCATTTCTCATCATGGGAACATATGTGTATTCTTGCTTGGAAAATGATCAAGGCTTTCTGGCAGAAAAACATGAGTATTTTATTCAGGAAAACATTCTGTATTTTCCTTACTAAATAAAGCGGATGATATTTAAAATAACAACATACCATAGTGTAATTGTGAGCCACCTTGTGCAAGTCAGTGCAACCTTGCGCATCAGCGAAAGATCGGATTCCAAGGCAATTGGATGGGTGAAGCTGCTTCATTAGGAATTTACAGCATGCTTCTACAACCTGAGAGAGCTGAAGAAGGCAAGCTGTAGACAACAGGCACTCAATGTTATCTTCTTTTAATTCAAGGCGACCTAGTAACATTAAAAAGGAGATCACATTAGTTTGCTCTTACGATTTGTTAAATTCCCTAAAACTCAGAGGCAACAGAATTACATGACAGAATATAAGGCTTAGCAAACATCACTGTCAGCAATAGATAACCAGCTTTTCAAAATTGGTACCTATAATGATGTAAGGAAAGGGAATCCTAATAAGATTCCTTTTTTTGTCAGTTCTGATACATTTAAAATATTCATATAATTTGTTAACTAACTGAATATAGTATTATCAGAGAAACTACATCCTACCAGGTTGCCGCAGGTAACGGCAATGATGATTTCTTTCTATTTATAATTTGTAATGTGAATAATAATTTCTAAAGAGCAATTGAAATCTAGTAATGGAATATAATGTTCACAGGAGGACAATTCGTTAGATGAAATTCCCATTTCCATTCTAATTACCTGTATATGCATATTGAACCAGAGCCCACAATGCATTTGGCTCCACACCTTCCATCTTGATTTCTTCCTGTCTTGCTTCCCTTACGTCATTAGTGAACATTGCCGCAAAGTAGTCCGAAACAGAGGAGAGAACCAATCTGAGCACATCATGCAGGAAAAAAGGAGAGGGACAAAGCGGAAAAGAAAAAAAAACCTTAGTCAACCTGATGTTTGTTAATTTATGATTCATTACTTTGCCCTTTGAAGAAACACTGTACTGCGAAAAACATTTTAAAATTGACAAACTGCTCCATGCTCTAGTTCCCCTCTATAAATAATGAAGTACTGTTCCTGAATCTACATTTGCTGCTGAAATAAATGAATTACCCTTTCAAAGCTCAATGACTTTTAATAGCCAACACAGAAGCAACCCACAAAAAACACGTAAATTGGAAATGGAATATAAATATACATTACGGATATAAAAAAAAAATTGACTCCCATTTATATTATGTCAGTTACTTTTTTAAACATGAAAGAATGACTTACTAATCCTTTTCAAAGTGCTTTAAAATGCTTTTACTCTTGGTGCACACATATGCATTCATTTACTAATACTGATAACAGAACTAGGCGCAGTAAACATGGAGATGGTACAGAGAGAGTAATCTCTTTTGTGGATATGTATTTAGCCTTCTATTAACAATTGTGAGTATTTTAAGATACTGAGTAAGTGAACATGTTAGTACACAACAGACATTTCTTTGGATTACAGAGAGTAAAACACCGAGTACGTGTAACAATGCCACTCCACAAAATGTGCAAGGATTTTGATGTCTCAGTAGGTGTTCACAGGACTACGGTGAAAGAGAAAGGAAATAACGTGGAGCGGGAATATTCAACCCGTAGTTTTGTTATGAAACCTACTATAACTATTCATAAGGTCTCCCGGTCTCTTCCCTAAGAGACCTCCAGGAACAGTCCTGTAGTTTGGATTAATTTTTGTGCTGCAGCAGTTCACTGCTGCCTTGCTCACAGGGAATTCAAATATAAATACACTTCATATGTACTGACCTACACAAACAGCAAGCCCAAGAAACAAGCCTACCACAAATACACTACACAGTCCATCTGCATACATTCAATGAATCTAATACTTCACAAAATGCCCGTTTATTCTGTGCTGAATCATTATATTGGCTTGTTAAGACGACAGAGGTCAAGAACCACAAAACAGAGTAAAATTAATTGAAAAGGTGAGCACCAGTGCTTAGGACTAAGTCTAAACATGTATTAATGGGGAGGATTTGCAGGTACATACACAAAATCATGAACTACAAAGAACTGTCTCTTAGTTAATTAACTGCAAAGTAATAAATTGTTGACTAATTTCAACTACTTTTTTCTTGCTGATTTTCTGACCATTGACCATTTGGTCAGGCCTACAGTAGGGTGATCCTTTTTTTCCTAGTTGCTGAGGCAAAAGAGTTGGGTTACGAGCATATGGGGGAAAAGATTAATTTTATTTTAACATCTTATATGATTACAAGCAAAGTTTTATTACAAGTGAAGTTTTGTAATGACAAAGTTCTGTTCTTTTAAAGAACATGTTGTTCTTGAAATATGAGATTTAGTCTGTACATATCTTAGCAACAACCGTTGAAGAAATGCCAAATAATAACCTGAGGCTCCAGACAAACACCTTCTACCAGCTGTTTGGTAACAGCAAATTTCTCCCTGTAATTTCCAGTCTCAAAGTCCTCCAAAAGAAATTATTAGAAATTTAAAATGCAATTCATTTACTATTTTTGCAAACTTGTGTTTGGATTCATGAGAAGATATACATGCTTTACAGCGTTAAGTGCTTTCTGGAGAGTGACTTGCATATGCTGAAACAGGATGTGCAGCCCACGAGCAGATTAATACAAGTAATATGCCAAAGCATAAGTTATATTGATAACAATTTTGTAATAATTTTAGCCAAGAAGCATGTTCACAATGAAAAGCCTTAGAACAGGCATCCACACTTTTCTCTTAATTCAACTAATTTAGAAAAAAGTTCTTTCAAAGAAAGAAAGGGGATTAAAAGATAGTGACAATGCATCAAGGTGACACTGAGCTAGCATAAAAGAAAACAAAGGCAGACTTTCAGCCAACTGGCCTTTTCTTGTCCTATGTTCTTCCCACTAGTCAATAAAAATCAATTACTACTTTACTCATGCCATTTGACACCCACTTGATCTTTTAATCTCATAGCTAGTAACTGATTTTTCTTTCAACCTTTTTTTGGATTGTCTGAAATTAAACTGCATTCCTACATACAGATTATGCAACGTGAAGCAGCTAGTATCTTCATATAACTGAAGAATCCACAGAAGACTTTCCCCATCCATATTTGACCTTTTTGCTAAAAAAGTTCTAAGAGCTAAGTGACAAGTATGATTTTTCAAAAGAAAATCTGTGCAATGACCATAAAAACTACAACTTATATCCACAATCTCCTTGTTAAAAAGAGCCATCATGGCTCTGTTACTATTTAACGTAAAAAGAATCTGTGTTATTTATTAATCATTAAAATTAACATATTCATCCATATCAGGAATTCACTGGGATCTACTGATGCTACAAAATACTGCCTTTCCTCAGTTTAGAAACTGAAGAAAGCTATGGTTTTTATATTCTGAGTTTGTAGTCTTTTTTCCCCTAAGAGGGAATATTTCTTTCATAATTGGTCAGCTAAAATGCCTATGAAATGAGTATATATTGACATTAGAGAGGCCTCTTAACAGTACAAAAAAAAAAAAAAAAAAAATCAAGAAAAAGCCTTAATACAATTGGCATTGTATTGTTCAACTGTGGGTATCGAACATATTTACCTTTACTCTCCTCCTTACCTAATTACCAGCTGCTGAAAAATACTAAATTCTGCATAGATAAGATTACAAGAATTTGGCTACTGAATTATATGCAGTAGGTTGGCTGCTCTTCTTCAGTGCACAGGAAAATGTAGAGAAAAAGGAACACATGAATACCAGAATTTTTCACCTGGGAGATCATAACATACCCGAACAATTAATCTTTCTGGAAAAACACTCACCAAGCTGTGGGCTAAATACTGACAAAATCTGGGTGTTTCAGTGTATCTCCCTGTTCTTACAGGAGGTTCCAATGCTACTGATGTCTTTAATTTCTGTGGTTTGTACTGATCCAAAAATAGGAAGATCTACCACGACAGCTTAACTTATTTTGAAGAGTTTTCTACTGAGAGCCAGTAAAATATGTGTAAGCACGGGTGGTATGCCTGAATTAAATTGTACTTCTTGTTGGAATTGCTACAAGCTGCATCATCTAGACAGCAATGCAAAGCAATTATTACGTAAAATGATGAGAGCTGTCAAACCTGGCAATATATAGATTCAGTATCTCCCAGCCTGATTCACCTGACAGAATAACATGAAGCTTCTTAACATCTTGAAGATAAAAGGGACACTTCCTAGGCAACTCCTTGTTTGTGGCTGTTTAACAGCTGAAAATGGTCCTAGGGAACTCACTAATAGCATTCACTGAAGTTGTAAGGTGATACTGAATAGTTCATGCATCCTAGTATGAACCACCTCATACATTGGTGGCTTCAGCTAATTTCTGTTCTTGATAACAAAGCATGTCACAAAAAGAATATATGAAAGTGGTACTACTCCACACTACTAATATATCTGTATTTATTTAAATTAAAATTTGTTTAAAAGCAAGCAATACCTAAAAATACATGCAGTATGTTTATGTTAAAATGATTTCCAATTATACCTCTCTTCCAGGGAAATGAAACATTTCAAAATTTGTTTGCTGCTTCTGACACTGAACTGATGATTAAAATAAACCCTTTAGTAACATTTTTCAAAACAACCAGTTAGTAGCAATAGTACCTTTTTATCATAAAGCTATCACAGAACTGCTTTTTTATATATTTTGACTTTTTAGAAAGACACTTTGTGTTAAACTTTTATAAACATGTAGCTAAAACAAAAAAAAAAAGGCTGCAGCGAAGGATTTACAAACTAAGGCAATACAGACTGTGAAAGAAAGGAAGTATTATTAAGCCATATGGAGAAGAAGTACAAAGATAAGTAAGCCTCAAGATAAAAAATGTCTGCAAACCAGGATTTGTGCTCTTCCAAACAAGCTTCCTAACCCCTAGAGTACATAAGCTTCCATTTGCCTTCTTTCCTTCAGTCCCATGTCTTTTGCATTTCCATCTTTCAGCATCAACAGGAAGAAAGAAAATGGCTCTGCACAGATTTTCAGATTGCTGCTTAAAGGATGCAGAGCAGGCTTTAAATCCCCTCTGGCCAGAAATTTACACAGACCTCCCTTTTCTTATGTGAATGTTCTGATCAGCAGGTTATTGCAAAACAAAAAACCCTTTTATTATGGATATAGCAGTTAGCTGAATGTAATAAATAGGAATGTAATAAATGACTTAGAATATGAAATTGCAGTGGACACAGAAAAAGCGCCTGATATTAAAAACTTAATTAAATTAATTTAATTAAATTTAATTAGAAGTCTGGCAAAATTTCTTTATGGAACTGCAGGCTAAGGGAGTGGGAACATAATGCATTTTTCCTTTGTGGAGAACTGTCCCCTTTCCTACTTGCTTTTGATCTCCTAAATAAGTTCTTACCTATAATTTCAGCACAGACTGGGAAGATAAACAGCCTCAGAATAATAGATAATGCCATACTCAGGAACATCATGACTACATGTGATACTTTTATTTGTAGTAGACCTATAGCCTGAATTCTTTGCATAAATACAAAACAAAACCCTTTAGAATTTTACAGTAGTGTATTACCTGTGCTTATTACTATTGCAGACACCAAACTCGCTGCTCTTTTCTCTAAAAACATACATCATACACCTCAGAACACTCAAGTATCATCAAAAGTAGAAACTGAGAATTAAGGAAAAAAAATATACAGGAACTATTGAAAATATCAGGTTCAAAACAGAAAATCTGAAAACTCTCTATATATGAGCGTGATTAATAATGAAAAATGTTCTTTATTACCAATTCTATGTGACCACATATTAAGAAAAACCCTTTTATCTTTCTTAAGAAGAAAAAAGGGGAAAAAAAAAAGCTGTCCAGTGTAAGTGACCTTTCTGTTTTCTTATACATCTTAGAATGCCAAGCCCTTAAGCTGATATCTATTTAATACATCTTTTGTTGCTTATTAAGTCTTAAGATAAAATAATCACTGGTGTTCTGAAATACACTGACTGCTCCAGCCTGCAGTCAATATTAAAGAAGTCAGAACTTGGATGCAGCCAGTAAAAAATCCTACAGAATTTTTTTCTTATAACATAGGCTACTACAAGTACATAAAGCCAGTCTTCTGACTGAATTTCTACAAAATTCTGAACCAAATTTAAGATTTCCATCTTCATCTTTCCCACTACGGAAAAGTTCCATTTTCAGTGAGGTACTTTGGACATACTGAGATGAAGACTGTAGTTATTGCTATGTTTCTTTGTGAAAAACAACACAGTAATGTTGTCCTTCAAGCGGGGTTCCTTACCTGGTGTGCAGTAAGCCAATCTCACACACAGAGCTGAGATATTTGTTTATTCCATGTCTGCGCAGAGATGGGTGTTAGGTGGTAATTCCACAAAGCTAGCACACCTCAGTTAACGCACGGTAAGCATTTTATACTTTCCGAGCAAAAGTCATCAGTACTTTTTACATTTACACTTAGTCACTCTTGCTTCTGTTGGTTCTTGCAATGCCTCGTCTTCACTTAAAGTCACAGTGTCCTCTCTTCTTACTGCGCATATTCTGTGGGGAAGGGGCTTTGGTTGGTAGGGGGCTTTCCTGCCCGGGGGTGGGTTTTTTTACCGTGCCAATTAGGATAGTTCACCCATACTTCAAGTAGTTGTTTCTTTAGTTTTATCAGCGGTTTCTGTTCTCTTAGTGCTTATCTTGGTTCTCCCTTATTTGGCCATATTGTATGTTTCTTCCCCCAAGGCCATGCCCAGTTAACTCTCTACAGAGGTTGAATAATTTCTTTTGTTTCATTCCTTGCATACCTCCTCATTTATCTCACCCGAGCCTTCCTGGGATTCACCATCCTTGGTGCATCTAATCCCTCAGATAAACAATGTCAATGTAACCTAAAAGCTAACTCAAACATATGGATTTGATTAGACTACAGTATCAGAAAGAACTTACTGTGCAAAAGGCAAAGCTTCTTTCTAAGTTGCCCCAACATTATGAAGTGAATTAAGGACAATCATAAGCCTCCCACCTCCTACTACAAGCACAAGGTGTGCTTCTTTGGCCTTAAATTTCATACATATTTAAAACACAATATACCAACTACAGCAAGGTGTTTCTCCTCCTAAGAAGAGAAGACCAGAGCAAGTAACAGGTGGTAGCACATGCCTAACGCACTACAGAAATAGATACAGGAGCAGAAACGGAGGAACAAAGTCAGTTCTCTAAATAAATGAGAAACAGCTATGAAGCACATTAAAGAATGTTTTAGCATGTTGTCTTTCTGTTTACCTTGTTGCAAAAAAAAGAAATCTTCCAGTCCTTACAAGATATTCGCAGCTGTCCTCTGCACCCTTTCTACACTTTTTAACTTTGACACTTTTAAATCATACTCCAGAACTGTATACTGCAAAGGTGCTACCTTGGCCACATAAGCAAGTAAAATTATTTCCTTATTATAATCACTATTTTTCCTGTTTGCAGCACTCCAAAGCTC